GGGGGGATATAACTTTTTTTTATTATATATAAAAATATATTTTTAAATTTAAATAAGCACTCACACACACTCACACACAGCACACACACAGCACCCAGACACACACAGCACCCTCAGACACACACAGCACCCAGACACACACAACACCCTCAGACACACACAGCACCCAGACACACACAGCACCCAGACACACACAGCACCCTCAGACACACACAGCACCCAGAAACACACAACACCCTCAGACACACACAGCACCCAGACACACACAGCATCCAAACACACACAGCACCCCCAGACACACACAGCGCACCCAGACACACAGCGCACCCCCAGACACACACAGCACCCAAACACACACAGCACCCAGACACACACAACACCCCCAGACACACACATCACCCTCAGACACACAGCACACATCACCTTTAGACACACACAGCACCCTCACTCCCAGACAGCACCCTCGCTCACACACAGCAGCCTCGCTCACACACAGCACCCTCACTCCCACACATATACAGCACACACACACACACACACACCTATATATATATACATCAGGGGCGTTTTAGCCATGAGGCAAACAAGGCATTTGCCTTGGGCGGCATTTTTCAGGGGGCGGCAAAAAACGCCGCCCCCCAAATGCCCAGGGCAAATGCCTTGTTAGCCTCGCGGCTAACAGACATGCCGAGCGGGTGGGCGGCGCTGGCTGATGGTCCGGCGGGCGGCTGCCGAGGGAGCTCTTCCTCTGAGCGGTCTGCTCAGCTCCCTCGTGCGCCGCAGAGTGAGGCTGGGAGCCGGGAATATGACGTCATCTTCTGGCTCCCAGCCTCACTCTGCGGCGCACGAGGGAGCTGAGCAGACAGCTCAGAGGAAGAGCTCCCTCGCCAGCCGCCCGCACAGCCCAGCGCAGCTCGCAGCCACTGGACCACCAGGGAGATAGAGACCCCCCCAGCATTCCCAAAGGTAAGGGGGGGGGGGTAAATTTAAAAAAATGTGTTCGTGTGTGTGTGTGTGTGTGTGTGTTTGTTTGTTAGCGTGTGTGTGTGAGTGTGTCTGCTAGTGAGTTAGTGTGTGTCTGACTGTGTGTGTCTGTTAGTGTGTATGTGTGTGTCTGACTGTGTGTGTGTGTGTGTCTGTTAGTGTGTATTTGTGTGTCTGACTGTGTGTGTCTGTTAGTGTGTATGTGTGTGTCTGACTGTTTGTGTCTGTTAGTGTGTATGTGTGTGTCTGACTGTGTGTGTCTCTGTTAGTGTGTATGTGTGTGTCTGTTAGTGTGTATGTGTGTGTCTGACTGTGTGTCTGTTAGTGTGTGTGTCTGTTAGTGTGTGTGTGTCTGTTAGTGTGTGTCTGACTGTGTGTGTCTGTCAGTGTGTGTGTGTGTCTGACAGTTTGTGTCTGTTAGTGTGTATGTGTGTGTATGTGTGTGTCTGTTAGTGTGTGTGTGTGTCTGACTGTGTGTCTGTTAGTGTGTGTGTGTCTGTTAGTGTGTGTGTCTGACAGTTTGTGTCTGTTAGTGTGTGTGTGTCTGTTAGAGTGTGTGTGTGTCTGTTAGAGTGAGTGTGTGTGTCTGTTAGCATGTGTATGCGTATCTGTCATTGAATGTGTGTGTGTGTATTTAGAAGGCGGGAGGGGGAAGGGTTGGGTGGGGCTGGCGCGGGGGGAGGGGGTGCCTGAGTTTTGTCCTGGATACACCACTGATATACATATATATATAATATATAAAATAACTCTCAGTGAGTTAACAGACAAAGAAAATTAGAAACCTAGAATGTGACAGCAGATAAAAACATCCTCACAAACAGCACCCCTCTTACATACACACACACTGCGCCCCTCACACATACAATACGTCCAAATATATATATATATATATATATACACACACACACACACACACACACACACACACTAGAGCACACCTCACACTGCACCACTACACACATTACGCTCCAGATACACGCTAGATCCCTTACCCTATATGCACTCTTAATCCTCTACACACAATTTTCTAACACACACAAAATCTCCTATACACACTCTGGGTCCTTTACACACTAGATCTCCTACACACACACACTGCAACACCTACACACACACTACTCCTTGTCAGCAAACACATACACCCTCTCTACAACCTATACACACACACTACAGCCCGTATGCACACACTCGCTACATCCCCTATAACACTATGCCCCCTATACACACACTCTCTACAGCCCCTAGCCACACATATTACACCACAAACACAAATGAAATTGACCTATTTACACAATACCACACAGGGCCGGCGCTACCTGTAAGGCAGACTAGGCAGCCGCCTAGGGCGCCCCTTGGGAAGGGGCGCCGCCAGGAGCGCCGGCCCCCCATGCTGCAGCCACCCGAGCGCTCTGTAGAGAGCCTCAGGCGGCTGCAGCTTTGCCCATGAGTGCGGACCGCACCGCCCGGGCGCAGCCTGAGGAGAGGCTGACAGGAGGGAAG